TGATGATGGGCCCAGGCTCAGCCTCCCAGCCCCAGACCTGGAAGCAGCCGTTTCTCCCGCCCCAGGCCGGGTGCTGTTTCTCCAGTTCTTATGTTCTAGCTCTATCCAGATCTCAAACATGAGGAAGCTGCTCTCCGTGAATAAGCGATCCTACTTTAAAATGTTCTTTCACATTTCGGCTTAGCTTTGTGGAGAATGTATGCGTGCATGGTGTGGTCTGTTCCTGAGAAAAAGACCCTGCCAAGCCACACCCGAAACACCCTTGATCTAAATGTCTAATCATAATGAAATATTCTCCCACTCTGAGGGCTAGAGCAACCTAAAAATACTGCCTAAAAAATACAAAATGAGGGTTAAAATGGGAGAGAACTTAGCCTGCCAGGAAAATTGGTAAAGCCAAATATGAGTTTTGTAAAGTGTAAACAAATACTCAAAAGTTCTCAACCTATAAACGACCAACCTAGACTACGTGAGGCCAACATGAGAACGCATTCCTGTGGATTTTAATTCCCCTGGATTCGGTCTCCTGGTTCCTTCTACTGTTTAGAAAGTACACAGGTGTGGAAATCAAAAGTAAATGACATACCTCTGCATAACTTTGATTATGCACCAGGAGAGCCATTTTAAGAGATTCCCATGCAATTTGGATCAACTGCAAAATTGGCTGTGTAAGAACCCAGGGTAAGGAATAGGATCCCAGCACCCTTCAGCCGCAGACTGCTGAAGTTTACATTCAGAAAAACAAATGATGTACATGTGACAGCATTTGGACAAGAAATCCTGTGATGGCAGGAAGGGGGCAGAAACTCCTCTTGAGAGGCTACAGCGACCGAGGGACGGAGGCACCCTGGCTGACCCCCAGCCTGGCACAGGAGACCTGGCAGTACAAGGTAGAAGGGATCAAGTGGCAGTTCTCTGGCCTTTCTAAGGGACTTAGAATTATAGCTGGACTAAGAAGGGAGTCTGAATGGGTGAATTTTATAAACTATAAAGTTCCTGGTGAATATGAGATGGTGCTGATGTTATTATGGATTCACTCAAAAGAACACAGTTTAACAGCCTTCAGCCCCCACATTCTTTCTCCAGGCCCTGTGCTGAGCACCAGGAATACAATGGTGCATGGCACCAGACTTCGAAGGCTGCGTATGAGTCTAAAGTACCGCAGATCCTGGTGCAGGCACTGGTTTTACAAGTCCTATATGGCATTAATTCTCATTAATAGCTGACACTGTTTCGGCATTGGTCACGTGCACTTCCCATATATTGGTGCAGAAGCCATTTGGCAGGGTCCTCACAGCTGAGCCCTGGCACCTCTCTGCAGCAGCAGCATCAGCAGCCCCATCCCTGGGATCAATATGCAAGAACCCAGTTCACCCAGTGAACAATCCAGGGATGCTGGGGGGACAGGACCCCCAGCCCTCAGCAGCACCTCCTAGGACAAGCTGTCCCCTCTCAGTCCCAGGCAGTCCCAGATCCAGCCTAGGGTTCCAAATGCATTTGGAGATTGATTGTTAAGACTTCAGGAAATTTGCTTCCTGAACTGATTCTTTGAGAGGCATCCGGGATTCTGGATATGTTCCCTGGTCTCATTAAAGCCATGTTTGTACTTCTTGCTTAGGACTCTGCTTTGCAAATTCTTATTTTGTTCTGGCCTCTCATCACCTCTTCCTCTTTTGTCCCTAAACCCATGAATTCTCCAGAAGTATGTAAGTGCTTTCTTCCTCAAGAAAACATCAGTCTCATAAGGTATAGGGTGACATAATCATATATATATTAGCAGTAAACTAAAAACTCTGAGTCTAGAGAGCCAGGGATAGGTTATAAAAAACAGAACCTAAACATTTTGTGTAGTGCAGTTGAGCTAGATAGAAGTAAGTGGAATAGGACCAGTGATGTAGCTCAGCAGCACAAAGCATCTGCCTGGCAAGTGGCAAGGTCCTGAGTTCAATTCCCAGTACCAAAAAAAAAAAAAAAAAAAGTAAATGGAGTTGTTTGGTCCAGAAGTCCTCTAATAGCATCATTTAGAAATGAGCTATTGCCATGGCTATGAGCTTCCAACCAGAATTCACCAAATATAGGAAGAAACAAGTAAAGAGACATGAAAATTAATAGAAGCCACCAACTACAGAATCACACATCATGACCAAGGTAGTGGAATTTTCAGGTATTGAATATAAAATAAATACCAAGCAGGAGTAGAATGTAGGTATCCATATCTCAGCCTGAAACATCAATAGTGAATAAACTGTAGAACACCAAAGACAGAAAGAATACCCTAAAAGTGACCAGATGCTAAGGGTTGGTTCTTACAAGGCAGCAACAGTTCACCTGACAGCTGACTTCTCATAATCGGTGATGGGAGCCCAAAGGCGGTGGAATTACATGGAAAAATGTGGATGGTGGTAAGAGGACATCTTGGAAGCACCAAGAGGAAATAAGTTTCAGGGTGAAACTAAGAACATTTTCTAACAAATCAGATTGACTGCTACCAACCAGCCTTCACTAAAGAGGCCACTAACAGGAACTTCAGGGAAAAAGAAAATGATCCCAAAGAAAAGTGTGAGATGTAAGAATATCTTTGTGACCTAAGGTAAAGGAAGGATTTTTCTAAACGTGATAAAAATGTGATCGATAAGGAAAAATATTGATAATTTTTCAGAAGTTACCATCAAAAGTGAGACACATGCTAACAGAAGATACCCACAACATACATAATAATCGATGATAGTCACATCCTTGGAAAGGATTCATGTGAATAAATAAGAAAAATACAAACCTATAAAAATAAATGACCAAGAGAAAAAATTAAAAGTTTATAGAGGAGGTTATATAAATGGCCACCAAATACACACAAATATGCTTTATATCATTACTGATCACTAAATTAGAATTAAATGAGACATATTAAATCTCAAAAAAAATCCTACCAAGCTACATAGAAACCCTCAACTTGTAAGTTTAGCATATTTCAGGACACAGTGTCAGTACATTAAAAATTAAGCAGATTGCATCTAACAGCAACAAAACAATTGGGAAATTATTTTTTCACAGTACTATTATAAGTACTTTCTCCCAAATGAAATATTTAGGCATAAATGTAACAAATGCATCCAGCCACATAGGCTAAAAGACTTACAAAACATTTATAAGTCATATCAAAGAACAGCTTCATAATTGTACAGACATACCATGTTCATGGACTGGAAGCCAGTTCTCCCCCAACTGAACTGTGTGTTAAACACAGTAAAGATTCCAGTAGAGAAGCACTGTGTAAATGGCCAAGCTCATTAAACAGTTAATGTGGAAAGGGCACAGAACTAGTAAATGAGTTGAGCTGTCCAGGGAAGGGCCTGTGTCCTGAAAAATGGGCAGAAGTGTGAGTCACCTGAACTTGCAATCTTTGGGTTATGGAAGCTTTACAGAAAGTTTTTAAGTATGGTAATGTGGTTCCCCAGACCACATCAGGAGTTATCTTTGGGTCCCAGCCAGGTCCTCTCCCCACCATCATGACAAATTTCTAGTGGTTTCACAGTAAACAGGCTCTTCTTTGATTTCAAAACCCTTTGACTGCTTTATGAAAGATAAATTTCTGCGCCCTCTGTGAAGTGTAAGAAACAGAACAGTTTTATTACCTTTAGAAGCCTATGTACCTCCTGGCACAATCCTACAACTGTTTCTCTCCTGGGTGAGTCATTCTAAGCATAGGTGGAGGAGGGCGGATCGGGAGGGAATTCGGGAGTGGCTAAAGAGTTTAGGTCTTCTACAAATTGAACAGACTGAGGAGCAGGTCCAGGCCTGGGGTGAAGCAAAGAAAACACCTAGCATGCAAAATTTAATGAGATAATCTCAGGGCCATACAAGTTCAGAGTCGTTCTCTCCAAGAAAGACACCCAGTGAGCAGGTATGTGTGAGAAATGGGTGGAGGTGTGTTTCAAAATCGCCAGCCACTACAGTGCTTGAAAAGCACAGAGTTAACAGGAGTCAGTAAAGGGAGACCTGAGGAAGCTCGGAGTGTCATTTGAAGGAGGCCCTGGGAAGGCCAGGAGCTCAGAAAGTGGGAGGTTAACCAATAGCAAAGCCACACAATGTTCATGTGGACCTTTGCTCTGCAAGTCTCTACCTGGGTGCCGTGTGGTTCTGTCCCAGGGCTCACCACCAGACGAGCAAGCCCAGCCTAAAAGCTAAGGCAAAGCCCAGACAGAAAGGGGGAAAGTTTGGCTTCTCCACCAAGGCTCTAACAAATCACTGAACAGAGCTGAAAAGTGGTTAAACAGGACGTATTGCCTAACTGGTAACTGACCCCAGAGCATCCATCCTGTGGCCTGGAGGCTCTAAATCAAGTGCCCACAGGCCCAAGCAGACACTGGAAACCCAGTCAGTAAAGGGACCAGGGAAAGAGGGGACTGTTCAGCTGTGTGAGTGAGCAGCAGGATGGCAGGGGGTGGCAGGGATCCTGATGGGTCCACAGACGATTGTGGCTCTTTTTTAGAGACACAGTTACACCTTAGTGAGCCTACCCCAGCCTGGGAAATGGGTGTATTACATTCAGAATCATGGATTTCTCAACAAATATCCCAAATTTGGATTTTTTTTCACGTGAAAAATCCCATTTTAAAAAGTGGCAACTCAGCTCAATGGCACAACACCTACCTGGCAAATGTGAGGTCATGAGTTTGATTCCTGATGTCAAAAGAAAAAGAAAAACTTAGCAACTTATTCAGATCTTTTTTTTTTTTTAACCCATACCAATACCAGTTGGGCTAGGAAGACACAGCCAGACTCAGCTCCGAGACCTTCCTTTTACGGCCTTTGTATGAAGCCCTGGAATTCTCAAGTGGGACCTGGGCTGATTCAGCGTGACCAGGCTTCCTTCCGGATTGCTAGCTCCTCCTAACTTCATATGAGCTTTTAACCAGAACGGAGGCAAGGGACACTTACAAAGGGAAAACAGGCCCCACGGTGGCAAATTAACCCTCTTCTTCTATGCTTTTCTCTTCCAGGTATTTGGGTTCTGGGTCTGGGTCCTGGTGGCTGCCACACATGTAGCGACCCCGCTGCTGCAGGGATGGGTGATGTACGTCTCCCTGACCTCCTTCTTCATCTCGCTGATGTTCTTTTTGTCTTACTCGCTCGGATTTTACAAAAAATTTGGGTCCTGGAGAGTCCTGGTAAGAACAAGACAGGTGGCTCCCCCTAGACTGATGTCCTAGGTATTGAAGGACAACAGGTCCAGCTGTGTGGGGAGGGAGAGCCCGAGACCTGGCCGAAGACCCTCACGGGGCTTCATCCTCATGAAATGAATGAAGCTTTTTGATTTTCATATAACCTGGAGCCAGGTGTGATGTTGTGTCACACACCCGTAGTCCTAGCTACTTCAGAGGCTGAGGCAGGAGGATTGTTTGAACCCAGGAGTTTAGAGCCAGGCTGAGCACCATAGTGAGACTCCACCTCTTGAAAAACAAAATAGAATATTCTGGTGTGTCATCACTAAATTTTATTCATGGTAAAACAAATCCATGGAGCAACGTTGAAGAAAATACCAGTAAGAAAGCAAATTATCCCGTATAAGGACTGGAATATTACTGGAATATTATTCCAGTATAAGGAGCCATCACTGTGATCGGCTGCCTCTTCAGATGCCACGTGAATTTGGCACAGTCCAATTACACCAAGTAAACATCTTGGGAGTCGATGCCTTCGTTTACTATAATACCATTGATTTCATCTTGCTGGCCACTTGGGTGTCCACTGAGTCTCCATTTCCTCATCCTAAACTGAGAACAATAGAGTTGACAGTAGGGGTCAGCTTTCCCATCGCTTAGACAAAAATACCCCACACCCACAGCTTAGAGAGAGCCTTTGTTTTGGTTGTACTCATGGGAGGCCAGGCCTAGGGCAGAAACAGCATGGCAAACCATGCGATGGAGCATGCTGTTCCCTCCCCAGCGGTCAGGAGCAGACCATAAGGAAAGCATCTCACCTAGAGAGTCAACCTCTAATCCATCCCAGACTCTTCTCTCCCAGCCGTGCCTGCCTCCTCAAGGCAGTCAGTGCAGTGCCCCTTGGTCCAAGCACAGCTCCAGGAGCCTGGTGACCCATCCCTGCTGACACTCGAGGTTACCTGGCACCCAGCCCTCTGAAGTTAGCTGTGAAAATGAAAAGGACGTGTGGATGGTTGGAACAGTGCCTGGCACAGGTCTCCACAAGGCGAATGGCTTAGCATGTGACACCCTTGGAGCTCAGGAGGCCTGGGTTCAGGTCCCGCCTCGACCATTTAGTCACTGGCCTTAACTGTGAACGTCCGTTCCTACAAAAGGAAACCAATGATAAGAACAGGAGAACCTGCTTCATAGCTGACAAGGCTAAATGAGCAAAGGGCCTTGCAGAGAGCTTGGCATAGAATTAGCATCCAGGTAATACTAGTTGGTATTGATTTCGTGTGCACATATGGTACTGGGTTACCCAGAGCCTTCACACTGAGCTGCATCCCCAGCTACCACCACCCTCTTTATAATGACAGAGGGTCTCGTAAGTTCCCAAGTTGCCAGCTGGGCTTAAACTTGTGATCCTCCTGCTTCAGCCTCCCAGAGTGCTAGCTTGACAGGTGAGCTCTATCATGCCTGGCTGACATGATTGTTTATTATTGTTTGCTCCATAAATAAAAGCAGGCATTTGGGGGTGGGCTTACCTCTTTTTCTCACTGTCCTGCTGAGCAGTGAGGGAGGACAGTGCTCACCCAAGTGATGGTGGCCCTGGCCTCTGCTTGCGTCTCCAGGACAGCTTGTACCACGGGACCACTAGCATCCTGTACATGAGCGCTGCTGTCCTGCAAGTTCACGAAACGATCATGTCTGAGTCCAGGGACGTGAAACACTACTACCTCAACACTGGAGCCTCGGTGAGTGGCCGGGGCACCCGCTACCACCAGGGCGTTCAAGCCGCACGCTGGCCACAGAGGTACCCCGATGGCCTGAGGTTTCATTCTCCCCGTGCAGTCCAAATCATCCTGAGCCTTAACGCTGTGGGAGCACAGGGCGGAAGGAGAGGTGTGCGTGTGCACATTTGTGCATGTGCGAGCATGCATGCCCAAGCTCAAGAGCTACCTCTTGCCTTCTGTCACCCGCCAAGTCTTGCTCCCTCTTACATCCCCTACAGCCTTCAGAATTTTTTCCCCCCAAAACACAAATTGACACACGTCTCTCTCCCAGTGCTGTGAAGCAGGACCAAGTCCCTGTGCTCGGCAGAACTGCCCTGATGTCCCTTTGTTTCGATGGCAGAGATGGCATCGCAGCGCCGTGGTCCTGCCAAATTATGGGCAGAGCAGGACTCACAGGCCGTCATCACTTTGGGGCCTTCCAGTTCTTGCGCCTGCACCTCAGGCTTTTCTCCCGCTGTGGGATGGCGCCCTCGTGTGGCAGGGAGCTCACGGTGACAGAGCCCTCCCTGAAGGGCCTGACCTCTGTCCTTCCAAACTTCCAAAGCAGGACTCACCAGCAAGGCTGAGCCTGTGCCATGCTGGCACAGAGTCCAGGCCTGAGTCATCCCGGGCTCACAGGGCACCCTGGAAGGAAATGGGGCATCTCATGATACTGAACCCGGAGCGAGAACAGGGGACCTCGCCAGCCCTGGGACGCCCTGAAGAGACCACAGGCGACTCAGCTGTCCCCATTGGGTCAGCCTCTTTCCCCACCTCATTAGGCCACTCCAGCTTCCTTAGGTGCACAACTTTGGGAACAGCCCCGGGCAATGGCAGCCTCCCCAGCCTCCTGGGCCTCCCCACCCTCCCCAGACATAGCTGGCCTCCGGAGTCCCCTGCACACAGACCTGCACTCACCCCAGGCCTTAGCCGGAATAGGTGTGGCACTCCCGCCTCCTTTCTGGAATGTCACCTGCCCCATGAGGCGTCCTGTCAGCCCCCAGATAGCACTGTCCATTGCATCACCTCTCTGCAGCCTTTCCCTTGTTTACCTTGTTTACCTTGTGAGCTTGCGGCTGCTGTGATGTAAACTCTGCGGTGGGGACTCTTTAACGCCTCGTCCACTGTTGTGGGCACTGTTGTTGGACACTTGTCCAACGTCTGTCCGTGTCATTCTTGAAGCACAACAAGATTTAACAGACAGGTGCTGAGTGAGTGAGTGAGACAGGCTGTGCATGGCAGTGAGGTTAGCGGGAGGCTGTGGTGGCCGGCAGGACTGGAGATGTCCTGAGGGTCGTGCCTCTGTCCTGAGAGGAGGACACCGTGGTAGAGTGTTAAGCATGGCTTTGTTTTTTAATTTATTTTGGTACCGGGAATGGAACACAGCACCTTGTGTTTGCCAGGTGGGCACTTATGAACTAAATCCCGGACCGAGCACGGCTTTAAACACAGACTGGAAGGGGGTGGAGTGGGCAGAAGACGATGAGGTGAGGTCGCCAATGTCCTAGTAGGCGCAGTGTGGCTGAAAGGGGGGAGAAGCGAGTGGACAGGAGCAGCGAGGTCAGTAGACTTTGGGGTGCCCGTCTTTCTTTTCTTTTTTTTTTTTTGTCTTTTGGAGACAGGGTCTCACCGCGCAGTTCAGGCTGGCCTTGAGCTCACTTTATAGCCCAAGTTTTGAACTCACAATAATCCTCCTGCCTCAGCCTCTCAAGTGCTGGGATTACAGGCATGCACAGCCATGCCTGGTTTTTGGCATGGCTTTGACCACGTGGTGGGGGAGGGTGTGTTGGTGGGATGGTGGGTTTCTGGTGTGGGTAGCTAGATGAGAAGGAATTGGGGCTCACTGAGCAGGGAGTGCTTACGAGGACAGGCCTGGAGTCCTGTCTGGACCATTAAGAGCTTGAGAGGGGCTGCAGTCATCCACAAGCAGGTGCTCAGGGCAGAGTCCTGTGCCAGCAGTGCTCACAGGAACCAGAGCCGGGGTTCAGAACAGAGAGGCACAAGGGAGATAGCAGGGAGGGAAGAGAGCATGCTCCATGGACAGCTGCAGGAAGCCCCTGTGCAGATGGAGACGAGGACCATGTGGTCCCAGCAGGATCCTGCAAAAAAGATGGCCCTAGGAAAGCCAGGGAGGGTTTCTAGGAGTATACGGTAGCCAACCAAAAGGGGAAACTGAGGCAGGGTCAGGACTCAAGGCCTCCTGGGCCACAGGAGTCCTTGTGGTTTGCAGGTGCTGGAACCGCCCCTTCCTGATACCCTCCCATCTTCTCCTAGTTCTTTGCCTTCGTCACCACCCTGCTCTACATTCTCCATGCCTTCAGCATCTACTACCACTGAGGCATCTGGGCTGTGCCCAGTGAGAAATGCTCCCCAAAACCCAGGTGATTGACCCTCCAAAGCAAGCTTCACCACTTGCCACGTGGATGACAGACGATAAACAGACACCACCGAAGCATCTGCAGTGCTAACAGACTGTCCTTCACGACAAGCACCAAGAGCCCGTGACATGTTTCCCTGGACACTTTCACCCATGGCCACGATTCAAGAAAGTGGACCATGACCTGAGAAGAGCTCTGCTCTTCCAGAAAATGAACTCAGAAGCCCTCGCCGCTGGGACTCCCAGCTCCACTGCTGGGGATTTTGCTCAGCAGTGAGGTCCCCCCTAGATTTGGGCATATTCAGTCTAATTGTCATAAAACCAGAAAGGCCCCTGGAGGTATCTCAGATCTCAGGCCTCTGCCCCAGCCCTGCTCCCCCTCCTACCCTGGGGATAGGGCTGTCATTTCCTGCCCTTTCCTCCACCCAGCACTGAAGCCTAAAGGGGAAAGTGGCTTAGAACCAACTCCGAGGGGATATTTGTGGGGGAAATAAGTGATTGGCTCTACAAAATCATTGTACCATAAAGCTGGGGGTGGAGGGGAGGGGTTGGGATTGGGGGCCCAGCCTGCTGATCCCTAAAGCAAAGCCTCAGAGACCTGCCCAGCTCAGTGCACCTGCTCCAGGCCACCAAGGCCCACTTCCTGAGGACCAGAAGCCAGCTTGTCCCTCAGAGGAGACCCTCACTGAAGGAGAGAGATGTCACATCCGTGGATTCCCCCTCATCGCAGGGGCAGAGATAGGACTCCCTCCCAGGGGTCTGCCATGTGCATCCCCTTCCCATGGTCCCCTCTAGGTGGGACCAGGCCCTGCCAGGGCTGCTGAGACCTTGATCTGGAAAGGCATTTGCATTTTGGGGGCTACCTCCCAAGAAGAGGCTGGCGTGCACACACAGTAACGCCAAATTAAGGTGCTTGGTTTCAGAGGAAATCTCTCCCCAAAGAAAGCCATGTTCAGGGCAGGGGTCTGGTGGGCCTCAGGGCTGGGTCTTCTGACCCAATGGGTGAGGAGCACTGCTTGAAACTGCCTGTGCCTGCTGTCATTTGGAAATGAAGTAAATTATTATGTGAAAGGGACTCGTCCTCCTACTGATGGAAGAGCTTACTGTTTGGTTTCAACTTTTTTCCACTCCTTGGGGGGTGTGGAAGTCACCAAAGGAAAAGAACTCCAGCTTCATTATGGTTTACCGTCACTTTCTAGTTGCCCTGATGGTCCTAAAAGCCACCATCCATTGCTCTTTTTGTACCTGGGGGTTGGTCACTGTTCAATATTTACTGAGTGGCCACATGCAAATAAAACCTGTTTGCACAATAAGAAGTCCTGAGTTGGCTGCTTTCATCTTGCAGGGAGCTGGGCCCTGCCATCGTGTCGTGGGCCCAGTCAGCCTTGTCACCAAAACCAACAGGGGTCTCCAGCTTTGCCATCCAGGTTCCCTGTGGGCAGAAGCTGCTGGGGTGGCAGCGCAGGGAGCTGGAGTCTGCCTCCACTTCAGGAAGAACCGTGTGAAACCAAGTTTCAGAAACCCAGCTCAGGCAGCTTTGGAGAAGTAAGGGTGTGGCAGGCTGATGGAGGTGAAGCGGCTGCAGTGGGAGCAGGGACGGTTTGGGTGACAGCTTTACATCCCTGCCTGCTTCCCCCCACCCCCAACAGCAAGGGCTGTGATGTTCCCAAGATTCCCTAGTCAGACCCACTGCACGGGCAGATTTCACTAGGCTCCCGCCTCTCCCTCTCAGCACCCCGTCCCTTTCCCCCTGGACTCCAGGGGTCCTGCACTCCCAGCTTCTTAGGCGAAACAGAACTGAGACAGCCCACAGCATCTCCTGAGGCCATGGGGTGTGCTGGGTGCAAGGTTTCCCCTGACAGCCTGTGCTGATCAAGCTGCCGGCCAGTTTGATGTGCAATTTCATCCAGGACACCAGAGGTCTTTTGAACAACAGCCAGGGACAGATCTTTTAAAAACTGGAAAAACATGCTAGAATTTGATGCCTCCCACTCCTATACCAACAGGAGCAGGCTGGGCTCAGCTTCTGAAACCTGCCTCACTGCTGTAAAGTCTGACCAATGAGCTGCCTGCCACTGGCTCAGCACCGACCAATCAAGACAAGCGCTCTCAGCACCCTTGAAACCCTCATCTGCATGGAATACCTGGTGGAAACTTTAGGCAGGAAGTTCTCCTATATTAGCTATCCCTTTCCTTTGCGGCCAGCTGGCCTTTTGTAGAGCTGCAGCTCCCTTCTGGTATGAACGTCAAAACAAGTCCTACCTGTGCCTACATTTCCTCTGGGTCCTCTCTCGTTTCCATCTCTGGACCCAAGAACCTCTGGCCCTGGTGCCACCGACTCCTTTATGTTTGGGTGCAGCTGGCCACGGTGTAGTTGTGCCTGCCGAGGATTAGTAGTGTCAGGGTGTGTTTAAACCGGGTGGCAAAGGCTAGGTAGGCCAAGGTGGGCGCTCTGGGCTGACCCATGCCCATCTTCCCAAATTCACAGCTTGAGGCTCTAACCCCCAAGGGGACTGTATTTGGAGGCAGGGTTTTTAAGTTCACGTTTAATGATGTTAGGGAGCCTACCCCAGCAAGTTGGAGCCTTACAAGATAAGGACAGGACACTGGAGAACTGTCTCTCCCATCATCCTGGAACAGCAAGCAGCTGACTTTCTGGAAGCCAGGAGGATCGCCTTGGCCTGGGACTCCCGGCCTTGGCACCGTGAGAGGTGAAGCCTGCGGCCTAAGCCCCCAGTCCTGGGCTTTGGCTCCAGGATTCCCAGATGAAAAAGTCTGAAGGTTATGCCAAGGCACCAAGGTACATGTTCACATGAGCCTGCCTGAGATGTCAAAGCCTCTGAGGTGTCACCACTCCTGACTTGTATCAGCGGAGCTGGCTGGGATCAGCAATGAGAGGAAATGGTCCTATCACCAGTGGGATCATGGAGCTATTTCTCGCTGCAGACTTAAACTACATCTCCCCTGCCCCACCCGGGGCCTCCTGCATGCTAGGCAAGGGCTGGGTGACATTTGAAGCCCTTTCTAAATTTTATTTCGAAACAGAGTTTCACTAAATTGCCCAGGCTGAGTTCAAACTTGTGGTCTTCCTGTTTCAGCCTCCTGTACACCGACAGGAACGTGATTCCAGAGCCAGATTGAAGAAAACTAGGGCCAGTTCCTCAAAAAAGACATCAGGGAACCGGTGGTTCCACACAGGTGTAGAAGGCACCATGGGTCTTGGTAGGAGGGGGACCCCAGCCAGAGCTTTGGGAATCCTACTGGGGAAAGCTACTCCCTCTCACAGGGTGACACGGGGTGCTCCTGGCCCTTGGAACTTTGCCTGTGCCTCAAGGGGAAACTGAAATAGGGAGACTGGCACAGGTGGCAGGTTGGGTCAGGGCCGAAGGAGAGCAGGTGGGTATCTCAGGCCCCTCTGCCACTCCGTGTCACAGGATGGAGGGGCTTCTATCCAGACACTCACATCCTTAACTCTTCCTGCTTGGTCCCCCTGGTACCACAGCCTCCAAGGCCCTGGACAAACAAGCCTGGAGGAGGAAGAGGCCTGGAGCTCAGGCTGGAGACTCTGGGGCAGCCGGGGACAGGCACAGGAGGACCTGGGTCACAAGGGTAAAGAGCCCAGTGAGATGTGGTGGAAATTCAGCACATACCTAATCCTCTATGCCAGCCTATGTGTGCTGGTTTCAAAATACCGGGGGGCACCTCCTTCCCAATGCCTGCACGGGGTTACTGATGCTGCCTTCAGCCCCATCTGCTCAGGAAACTTTGCTGCTGAACCTCAGGAGGCACCACCCCAGGGGGCACTACTGTTAGCAAGCTTGGGTCTGTGCCATGGCCCTATGCCTGAGTTTACCTCTCTGTACACTCATGGGCATGCAAAGATGTCCTGCAGGGCCCTGAGATAGGGCCATGAGTGCTGAAGGTGGGGACACAGAAACAACCACACACCAGGGGTGGTGACTGGCCACAGGGCAAGGGCCAGAGTCAGCTCCTGGGCACAGCTGTGTTTGTGACCCTCAGGCAGTTCCCAGCAGCTCTTGAGAGGTGGTTACACAGAGAGTGACCATTCTTTGTGCTACGCAAGCCATGCAGGAGGATGACACTGCAGAGAGGTCACCTGAGTTTCTGTGGGGCATAGTCTTTCTCAAGAATCTGTGAACTTTGGATTTCCTAAGAATTCATTAATAATTGTAATTTTGGATTCAACTTCATAACACAGGCAGAGATGGTTACTTATTAGGCCCAGTAATGACTGTGGAGGGCACTAAGGATTGAACCCTGGACCTCACACATGCTAAGCACATGCTCTGCCCACTAGGTGACACTCGCCTCAGGGTGACAGCAATAGCTGATGTTCTTACAGCACCTCCCCGGAAGGACCCTCACCCTCACGTGGATGCTTCTTCCCTTGGCCGCCAGGGTATCCACATGTGGGTGCTTGTGGCAGGGTTCAGGAAGCCTGGGCTACCTTGTGAATGCAAGACCAGCCTGAACTCCATAGAAGATTTCGCTTCAAAAAACAAACAGAAAAATGAACTCAAAATGGATCAAAGACTCAAATGTGAGAGTTAAAACTACCTAAGTCTTAGAAGAAAATATGTTTATGACCTTGGAGTAGGCAATGGCGTCTCAGATCTGACATCAAAAGCACAGCCACGAAAGAAAAAATAAACGAGAGCTCTTCAAGATGAAAAACAGCTGGGCTTCAAGGGCACCACCAAGAAAATGAAGCTGAGACAGAGGTAGCTGGAGCACAGGCAGTTAGGACTTGAACCTGCAAAACAGGTCCAAGGTGAACAAGGCAGCCTGGCACAAAGAGTAGGCATGGGTAGAAGCCCTCAACTAATGGATGTCTTCAGCCACCATGCCAAGGAGGTGCCAGCGGGAGCAGGGACAGTGTGTAACCACCTTCACTCCTGGGCCTTGGGGGAAGGATCCTTTCCCTGTAGGACAGGAAGCCTGCCACTCTAAGAGCATAAAGAGAAAACCCTTCCTTCTCAGATCCTGTAAAAGCACCCCAAAAAGCCTCATTGATAAACATTTTCTGAGTCCCTTCCTGCAACCAGAGTTTTCCCTTTTGCCTGTTCTTGCTTTCCTGGTGAACTTTCCTGCTTGGGACTCTGCCTCCTGTGTCCAAGGTTTCATTCTTTGATACCGTGAAACACAACTGGTGTCCCAGGATCAAAATGGTGATCTACAAAGCAGGGGGAAAAGTACTTGCAAATCATTTCCCTGATGAGAGACTTGTGACTGAAATCTATAAAGAACTCTTGTGACTCAATAATAAAAAGACAAAAGTTCCACGAGAAAATAGACAAAGAAGCTAAGGCATGAGGATTCCAAGTTTGAGTCCAGCCTGCAGTTGAGGGACTTGGCAATCCTGACTCACAATAAAAGTAAAAATTTCTGAAAAAAAAATAGATAAAGTATCTGAAAGAAAATAAAATAAAAATAGTGAGAGAAGCCACGCTGGGTCTGGGATGAGCACATCAAGAAGCAAGTTCGCCCTTCCTGTGAGCCGCACAAACCATGTGGGTGGAGCCCAGGAAGAGACCCCCAACCAGAAGCAACCAGCTGGCTCGGAGGACTGGCTGGGTTGATAGTAACTGAGGTACAAAACAACTAAACTAAACACTTGTAGTGTCTGATTGACTGCAGGCCTGAGGCCAGTAGTCTGAGCATCTGTTAGGAAGATAACAATATGCAATATGGCAAATACGGGGATTTCCTTCTGTCTTGTTTTCGAAATCCAACAGTTTCATTTTGTTCTGATTTATGGTTTTGTTCTGTTCAGTGCTCTGCTTTGAATGGTTTTATTCTGTTTTGTTTTATTTGATTTTACTATGTCTGGTGGAATGGACAACTATTATGAAGATAACAGGAGTTATTGTGGCAGCCATGGTTGATTTCCTATTATCCTGCTTTGGAGTTCTGTAGCACTTTAGCTGCTTTGTTTTGTTGGGTTTTATTCTCTTTAAAGTAAAAAAGTGGTGAGCAACCATATCCAAAAATGTTTAATTTCATTCGCCAATAGGGAAAGGCATATTAAAACCACAAAGCCATTCCCCACCTATTGGGGCGGTTAAACTGAAAATAATGACCCCACCCCATGTCTGCTGGCCAGGGTAAAGAAAACCTGAGCCACTGAATGGCACTGTCAAGCAGCATAGCTGTTCTGCAAAAGTAAATGTGTAACCACTCAGTGGTTGCCTTCCTGGGACTTTTTATCTAGAAATTGTCTCAGAAATTGAGATAATCTCTAGAAATTGTCTCTCAGACAGGGGCTATCCTGAGTCTGTGGCGCTCCCCACCCCGCTCCTCTGCCATCGGGTGCTCTTGGTACATCCGTGACCTCAGATCCCACAGGAGGGAGAATGTGGCTCTCTTCCTCATGGTCACTTGCCCTGCCTCAGCCTCTAGACAGCTGGCATCCCCATTCTCCCCTCGGTATGATCCTTCCGCCCCTAGGAGCAGAAACCACCTCAGGCTGCCTGCCACACTTACCTGGCCACTGTGGCTGGACAGGAACCATTTCTGAACCCCTTCACTGTGACCACAAGGGCTTCCACATCGGAGCAGGCCACCAGCTAGCTGTCACTCATGCTCTGAGTTTATGCAGACTGGCCCATGTCCCTCCCTCGAACCGAGGAGGTCAGGGTTAAACTCTTCATGAGGGCTCCTTAGGTCCTTGGCTCCAGACCCATAGATCGATCTTGGGGAACGACTTCTGGCTGCCGAATGGCTGTTTGCAATTTGTATCTGTTATCCTTCTGTCCTTGAGATATTTGGTGTCTGTGACCAACCTTCATAATCCCTGAGACAGGGGACCTGAAAAGCACTGGACTCATTTTCCTATGCCAGCTGGAGGGAGGACATGGCTCAGCCAGTGGCTGTCACACCCCTTCCTCTCTCTTCCCTTTGCTCTCCCCGGCCCCGTCCCAGTGGACTGGGACAGCTTTCTCCAGTGTCCTCCCTGGCTGTCTGGCTGCCACTGTCCTCTGCAAACTGAGTGCGGCCAGATGGGGAGCACTGCACGCCTCCCTTACTCCCACCACCAAGAACAAAGTGTGCTCCGATGGCTGCCAGCAGGAAGGGAAGGATGTGGACACCCAGCCTCACAACAAGCCTTCTAGAAGATTCCTTAGTGCACACCCAGCCTCACAGCAAGCCTTCCAGAAGATTCCTTGGTCCCAGCCCCACCCCTCACTGGCCCAGGCCTGCAGGTGCTAGGTATGCAGCATTCCCCAGCCACTCCTCAGGAGGCCTGGGGGACTCCCTAGACTGACGTCCTGGGCTGCTGTGCAGACCATGTTAAAATAAAGACTAGCATTGGTGTTCCTGTAAACTTGCCAGTGACTTCAGAAGTATGGGCCCCAAAAGTCCTGTAAACCTACACAGGATTCTTACCCTGAGTGGTGTGGACAGAGTAGAGGTTTCAAAAGAAAGCCTTAAACTCTCAGAGCGTTAGCACTGAAGAGCTCTGGAGACCAGCAGCCAAGGAAGACTGGCACCAAAGATGGGTGCCTGGCAGAGAATCTACAGTGTTCACACAAGCCTGGGATGGTGACAGCCAGTAGCAGCAGTGACCAGCAGATTGGCAGTATCATCACCTGCTTTGCAGTGGTGCTGGAGAAAACCACATAGATCAAGCCACCTCTAAAATGAGGTGTACTTGACAGGAAAGGCCATGTTGTGAGCCAGAGCAGAGTGAACATGGAGTTTCCCCGGAAGCCACCTCTCTCCACCCCAGCAGAGGAGCTGTGTGAGTTGTATTGGTCAACGTTCTCGTCGCTGGGACACTCAACAGCCGTAGGGTAAAGGAGGCTCACGATTTCAGAGGTTTCAGTCCATGGCTTGCTGGCTCCGAGGCAGGAATATCATAGTGAAGGAGCATCACAAAACTAAGCTACTCACTTAATGGTAGCCAGGAAAGAGCACCAGCGAGAGATCTGCCCTCCACAGATGCAAGGGTGACCCACCTCCTCCCACTGTGCTTCCATCCTAACTGCATGTGCAGCTATGAACATCGGTGGACAAATCCATGCCATGACTCAGTCATCTCTCCAGGAGTCTCTCAACCCAATCCAGCTGACAAATAAGATGAACTGGCACAGAACTGTGCCCTTAGAGCAGGCTGCTGCAAGGGTGGCCTCCAAAGAAAGGCCTTTCTGAATGTCATCAAGCAGCAGATGTGTGGGCATTAATGCACCAGATGTCATGATGGTAGGACCACACATGTGACAAGGACTGCGTCCAGCAGGCCCTCTGGGCTGTCTGAGAACCTTTCATCCCAGCAGGGTCTGGCGCTTGTGCAGCCCCATCCTCTGTGCTCACAGATGGTGAAGTCCAGAGCCAGATTCTCAGTGTAGCTCCTCCCTGTGGGGACCCCGGCCCCTCCCTGAAATACGGGGTCAATGTCTCCGATTGCCTGCACCCACCTTTCCATAAAGCATCACGGGCCCTTTTATATCGAACATCTTTCCACATGATCACTGGTACACACTGTATAGTCCTACATCAACTGATGGCAGGGACACTGGCGTAGAGTATCACTCAGGGATTCTTGTCATAGTGTAAAAGCATGGAACGTGCTTATGCCAACTAGGATGGCTGCGACATCATGGGATATGATCTGTGGGACCCCTTCAGTCTCTGCAGCCTGTCCCAACCGAAATGGTGCCACCCTGCGCTCAACTGTAGCTTTTTCCCTTAGAGGATCCCAGGCAGGTTCAAGGCCACCAGCTTAGTCAAAGGCCACCTGCTTCTGTCGTACTCATTTAAAACCTGATGTGACACCCTCAGAAGAAGCCAAGCCAGCTCTAAGGCTCAGCAGCCTTGCTCTCCTGACTCAACGGCCTCCTAGCTGAAGCTGCCAGCACCCCTGGAGCTTCGGTGACCCCCAAAGCTTCCTGCCCCTGTGTCCTCCCTGCCTGCTGCCCCTTTCCTGTCTCTTGAGTCACTGCCACCCGGGAAGCTTTCAAATGAAGCACAGGATTGTGTGATGGCTAACCAAACTCACACTTTCCATGTAAATTTGTACATAGTTCACTAATTCTAGGGGTGTTTTCAGTTAAAAAAAATGCGACCCAGGAGATTGGAAGCTGGCCTTTTGATTCTTTTTTAAAATATGTCATCAATTGGGTGTGGTGACTTGAAGTTAAAATATCCTACATTGTAAACAGTATGAGAATACTTGGGAGAACTTAAAACACACTGTGTTACTAAATTTAATTTAATAGAACAGTTATCTCAGGATTCAGGAAATTTTTATACCAAATAACTGGGATACTTAAAAGGAAAATAGAAACCATTATATTTGTAAATACAGTTTTAAAAGCCTATTAAAAGGATTTAATGATGAAGAAATAAAGGCATCCCTAAAATTACTGATAAAGATACTAGATGTAAGATTTAAAAATTTGTTGGCTGAAATTAAATGCTAAAAGTAAAAATGAAGCGTCTGAATTTGTGAGTGCAACGAAGGAGATACTAGTGTTGTAAAGCAGGTGTGTGTCGGTTTACACCTGAGTAACCTGTGGTTAATTTTTCCTGCACCAAAAATGTCCTTCGAGGGCAAAAAACTATAAGACAACCAAATCCACCACAAAGGGGCCCCTGAGAGGGATGGTCAGAGGAGGTCAAGGGGACCCCCAAACCCAAAGCCATGCAGGCAGCAGCACAGATTAAAGACTGAAAATACAGCCTGGGGGTTAGCCCGGCAATACACGTGCCTGCCTGGCAAGAGCAGGTCACGTGTTCAATCCCCACTACTAAAAATATAAAAAGGTTGAAAATTCTAAGAAGTGATTCGAACAGACACAGTCTGGTGTATGCTGGCTCTTTTTATCCCTATGGGTTATAATTTTTAAATATTGCCCTAAATTTGTATTATCTAGACAATAATTTTGAAATCCACTATGTAACCTATTACTTACTACATGTACCCTGGCTGTTGGGAAGTCTCGGTGGGCTGGACCAGGAGCAGGGAGGATTTGCAGAGGCTGTGAAGCCTCAGCTTCCAGGTTCTCAGATGCTGGGTGCCCCGTGTCCACCTCACCTTCTTCCCCTCAGTCTGTCCTGTTGTGGGCCAGGCACCCAGTGACCAGAGGCCTGGCCCAACGCCGGGCAGTGACACCCTGCTGTGTTCCCGCTGCAGTGATGAAAGCCCTGCTACATTCCAGGGTCTCTGCCTGGCTGTGAATCCCAGACTCAAAGGCAGCCCCTCCAGAGGCATCCACACTGTCTGGATCCCTCCAGCTCTGCCTGGAGGCCAGGAACACAAGAGGCCTTTTGCACTTGAACGCAGGGCTCTGCAGTGAGGAAGAGGCCAGGCGTCACAGTCACCCGTGACTATCAGAGGCCTCAGTTTGACCCCAAGAAGCTATCATCGACCCCACTTCCTCCTTTCCAGTAGTCCACGGAGGCAAACAGGGAAAGAGGCATTTTGGCCTGGAAGCAGGCCACTTTGAGGGGCTGGTACCAGTGGTCGACAGCTGCTCTGTGCCAGGCTCCAGATGTCCCTTTCAACTCGCTCTACAGAAGAGGGGATTGAGGTTTGGGGGTGAGACAACCACCCAGCCCAACATGGTTACTAGCTCCTGCACAGAGCCCCTAGGCATCCTGCACGGTAACCACGGGAAGAGAGGCTCGAACCAGGCTCCCTCAGTGGCCTGTTGTGTGGACTTAGGGCAGCCACTTCACCTCTGAGAGCATCCCTCTCCTTATTTATAAGGATAGCCATGAGGATTAGAAATCAGGGGCAAAATGTCCTCCACACTTAACATGGGCTCAGTAATTGGTCACCCCTCTCCTCTTAGCTCTGGGCTAAAGGTCAGAGCTGGAGTGTCCAGAGCCACCTGCCAGGAACGTGGCGGAAAACTCCTTGTACTGGCGACACTGCATGTGGGCGTGGGTTCCAAGGAAGGGCCCCCACCCTAACCAGCCCAGTGGTGACTTCTCTCTGGCACGGTGCAGCACACTGTCCACCTCTGATGGCCAAATTGTTGGTTCC